GGGATTCAGTAGCCCAGACTAGCCCAATCGCATCAGAGTTTGGAAGCTGAGCAGGGTTGACCACGGTGAGGACTTGGATGGGCGACCACCAAGAAAGATTAAGCTTGCCATGCAGAGGAAGGCAATAGCAAACCACTTCTGCTCCTCTCTTACCCTGTAAACCTCATGCTGGGGTCACCATAAGTTGGTTACTACTTGCTGGCACACAGTTATTATTAGGGACACATAACATATTGTAAAGTTCTCATGTTTGTTGAGCCACAGCATGGAGATTTTGCATCAGTCAGTCCATCGGAATTTTGTTGCTTCCAGACTCTAGGGTTGTCAGCTCTGAGTTGGGGAATACCTGGAAATTTGGGGGGTGGAGCCTGGGCAGGGTGGGGTCTTGGAAGGGAAGGGACCTCAGCAGGGTATAATGCCATAGACTCCACCCTCCAAAGCAGCCATTTTCTCCAGGGGAACTGACCTTTGTCACCTGGAGAACAACTGTAATAGCGGGAGATTTCCAGGTGCCACCTGGAGGATAGCTGTCCTACCAGAATCACGTGCCCTTTTCTCCTCACAGCCATGACATGTGGGCAGAAGCAGTGCCGTTTTCATTTCCTCAAACCACTCTGTGGAGCTGCTATTGGCTCTGTGGCAAAAATTACATGCAGCCAACCATGTAAATCACATGATTTCTCAATAGCTGTCCTACCAGAATCACGTGCCCTTTTCTCCTCACAGCCATGACATGTGGGCAGAAGCAGTGCCGTTTTCATTTCCTCAAACCACTCTGTGGAGCTGCTATTGGCTCTGTGGCAAAAATTACATGCAGCCAACCATGTAAATCACATGATTTCTCAGTGGAGCCAATAGCATCCCCATGGGGTGGTTTGAGGAAACAAAAACAGTGGGGGATAGGGTTGCCAGCTCCCGGTTGGAAAATACCTGGAGATTTCATAGGTGGAGCCTGAGGAAGGCAGGGTTTGGGGAGGGGAAAGACTTCAGTGGAGTATAATGCCATGGAGTCCACCTTCCAAAGCAACCATTTTGTCCAGGATAACTGATCTCTGTCAGCTGGAGATCAGATAGAAAAAGCCCAGCAGGAACTCATTAGCATAATAGGCCACACCCAACAGCAGGAACTCATTAGCATATTAGGCCACACCCATGTCAGCACAGCTCATTGGCATATTAGGCCACACCCCCATGTTACCAGAAGTGTGGTCATCCAGCCACACCCACCTTTTGCTTCTTATTCTGTTTCCCTTGTTTGTTGTCAAAACCCAGGGCTTTTTTTGTAGCAGGAACTCCTTTGCATGTTAGGCCACACACCCCTGATGTAGCCAGTCCTAATGAGTTCCTGCTGTTGGGTGTGGCCTATTATGCTAATGAGTTCCTGCTGGGTGTGGCCAACTTTGGAGCTAGCCGGAACTCCGTTCCTGTGCGTTCCTGCCCAAAAATAGCCCTGCACCTGGCAATCTCCAGCAGCCACCTGGAGGTTGGCAAACCTAGTAGGGGAGTAAAGGCTGAATCCACTTCTACTAGGCTGGACACCGTGAATCGTGAGGAGAAAGGGGTACAATTGAGTCTGGGATGCACAAAAGTCTGGTTGAGCCTCTGATGCAAGGTCCTCTCAACCTCCAAAAAACATGAGGACTTTGTAACTTGTGAAGCAGCCGACTCCTCTGACACCTTAGCTTTAATGGAGTTTTCCATGCAAAAACGAGCCCCCATAGCATGTGTGACACAGAGACAAGGAGCAACTTCTGCTCCTGTTCGGGAAGGAAGCCACATGGTTATGTAAAAGGACACTAATATCACCACCACCCCTTTTAATCTGATACACAGAACCAAATGCACTGCCCCTCCTTTCTGGCACCGGTCCCAGCCTTGCTGATCTTCCATATAAGCTGAGTCTCTTCACCACAAGGTAACTAGCTCAGTTGGGGGAGAACCTAATCAAAAAACAAGAGACCAAGTGAGAGAGAGCGGGAGCTCCCTCGGCTCCTGGGACGATGGGCCACCCATGTATGAAAAGCCTTCTCTTCCTCCTGTCAACCTTGTGCCTCTGTTCCAGCCATTCCTCGTCTCGTCCGTTGCGTTTCTCCGCCTACCTGGATGCCATGCAGCAGGTCCACCTGCAATGGGACCATGATTCCAAAGAGATGATCACCTTTGAGCTTCAAGTCCAGTCAACGGGCTGGGTGGCGTTCGGCTTCACCACTCACGGAGAGCTGCCCGGGGGAGACGTTGTGATCGGCGGAGTCCTTCCCGACGGCAACATGTACTTCTCAGTAAGTCACAAACAGGATTCACTTTTCACATGCCGGGGCAGGAAGAGGGAATTGTTCACTCTCCAACTGCAGGTCCAAAAGAGTGTTTTCCCCTGCCCGGTTACAATGGGACCAGGGCTTCTGTTGTTAGTCCCTTCTCAATTGTGTACACTCCCTGCCACATGTGGCACGTCACATCAGATCGCTTCAGCATCTGAGGCCATGCTCACATCTTCACCCCCTTGAATGTTACACATTGCTGGTGTTCCTCCAGAAAATATGATTTAGGTAATTTTTAAGCTGCCTTTCTCCAGTGATGGAGAAAACCCCCGATGGATTTGGCAATGCTCCCTTTCTAAGCACGCTCAGATCACCCGAGAACGCTCAGTGAGAACTGTTGGGGCTGCGGCCCTCGCTGAGCCCTTGCCTAGTCGTCCCAACAAGGGGAGAAGAAAAGAAGCCCTGTTTCAAAAGGGGGAAATGAAAATGAGGTTTCTGCCCGGGGTGGATCGGCCGTTTGTATCGCTCGGTAGAATCCTGGTGGGCCACTTCGGTCAGACCTCTCCAGCCCCTGCAGTGGGGCTGGCCAGGAGTAGTCCAGCGGCCACCTGGCACCCGGTGAAGCTGGCAAGGAAGAGCACAGGCGAGGAGATGCCGAGCTCCACCTTGCCAGCCTAAGTGTCAGCTAGCTGTCATTTTTGTGTGCTTCCCCCCCCCCCCGCATGTTCCCATGCTTGCAGCTTGCAGCTGGCAGTAATCAGGCTTGGGAGAGACGTGGGAGCTAGACACCGTTATCAGTTTGGCCTTGTAAGGTGGGATGAGCTGCGGTTGACTTTTGGTGTGAATTACTCTGCTCTCAGGATGCCCTGCGACTCTCCTGCTCATTATGTAATCTCCCGCCGGGAGCAATCCTGCGCGTGCGCTCGAAGTTCATTTGCTTAGCTAGTGGCCTTGCTCGGCTATATCTATTGGGTGTTCCCGCCTTCTAGTCATTCCTAAAAATAATCCTGTGGACATGGTACCAGTCTTGTGCCTTAATAAACATAACGCTTCAGGAGAAACGTGTGTGAAGAGTGTACACGGTGAGAAGGACCATTGCAGTGGCCAGCTTGGCCCTCCTGGCTCCAATATGACTGCGTGAGTGAGGAGGAGAATGGGCACAGCAGCCCCTGGCTTCACCCTGTGACTGTCCAGGAGAACCACATCAGCACCTCCTTTCGGTTCAGCCACCTGCCTTCCATCAGTGAGGGGGCCGTGGTGGGGGAAGGGGCCATGGCCTCCCAAGTCTATTGTGTAGTGGGTTGCTGCATGGATGGACGACAGACAACGACGTAGTGCATGGCACACTTTATTAGTACACAACAAGAACCGGCTGCAAACGGCTGGCAGGCCAACTATATACACTACCAGGGGACCACCCCTGGGTCTCATTGGCGGGTTTGAATCTCCCGCCTCTGTCCCATTGGTTCCCCCAGTGGAGGGACTAGGATCCTAGTCCCCATTGTTGTCCTGGACTGAAGCTCAGGCGTGTGCGCTGACCTCCAGTGGCGGTCAGTGGACACAACACAGTCCCACCCCTGTTTTTGCACAACTTTTTTGACCATGCCTTCTCACCCTGTGGGAACGTTATAATAGGGTGTGGGGGGTAATTATTGCAATACAAGGTTGCGGAGCCTTTCCGGGATGCCTTTTCTCACGCTGCGTGGCTGTTCAGGGGCATTTTTCTCACTGGGTCCTGCCCCCCCCCCCACCGCCAGCACTGTGGGTTGTTCGGCTCTGGTGTGAATCTGCAGACTGCTGACTTAATTGGAAAGCAGGTGATTGGGTCGAAAAGGACCGTGAGCCGAGTCTAACTCACAGAGTGGGGCTGATCCTGCACCTAGCTGTTTCCCTGCAGTTTTTCCACAGCCACGTCAGGTCATAAATCTCCCCTCTACACTGCTTGCCGCTTTTGCTCATCGGGTTTTATGGTACCTTCTGCCTAGATTTATGGCTGTTCGGGGGGTGACTTCACAGTCAGTATGGCCTGTCCTCTTCCTCCATTTCCATTTCCAAAAGAATCCACTGGGCAGAGGTCAATTCGGGGGGATCGCGGGGGATTGCAGTTCCCCCGGGTGAGCTGTGGGGGCAGGGCATGCAACAAAGCCCCGCCCCCTGCTTCCGGCCGCCCCGCTTCTGGCCCTCATTCAGCCAGGAGGAGGCAGGAGAAGAGGGAGGGTAAGTTGCTTCCTCCCCACCTCTTCCCACCCCTGCCTGCCTGGAGTCAGGGAGGGCCTTGGCGGGGCTTCCTCGCACTCCCGCCGGCCTTGCAGGTCCACCGCCGGGCCCCTGATTTCAGGGGGTGTGGCATATGCTAATGAGTTATGCTAATGAGTTCCCCTAGCTCTTTTTCTACTAAACGACCCCTGCCACTGGGTCAAAATCACACATGTCCACTTGTGAATTAAGTGCTCAAAGACAGGAAGAGATTGAAATATCTTTTCTGTCATCTTCCCGCCACAAAACAAGAATCCCTGTCACCCTCTCAGGTTATGGCGTTGCCCCGGGGTATCTGAGGCTGTGGTCACACAGCAAGCGCACCGCAATTTGTTCCCGCTGTAGATCTGATCAGAGATATTCTTAAGCGGGTTCAGATGATCACACATCCCTTGCCCAACCGCTTGCTTTGCGCGACAAGGCTCCAAGCAGAATGTGCACAATGGTGAAAGTTGCCAAAAAAAAAAAACCTACCCAAAGAAGGACGTTCAGATGACTTAATCGCAATCGTTGTGAGAGATGGGTGTCCAGATAGGCAAAATCGTGGATTCAAAGCGCAAATACCCAGAAAGTACTTGATTTTCCCGGAGTTGGAAAACTCGCTAGGGAACCGGGAGGATAGCGCGAGTGAGCCCACTTCGGTGCGGGAGACGGATGTGGGCGTCTGATCAGCAATTTTAAATATGAGAGGGAACAGCGGTGAAACCCAATCAAAATGACTGTGTGACCACAGCCAGAATATGGCTTTGAGCTGTACCTTTTCCCCAGTGCTGAGAAAACGTGGAGCGAATGCCCGATGCAGAATGGACCTGGATTTTTCCCACACTCACCTTCCCACTACAGCCTGCCCATCCTCCCTGAAATGCTGCTCCTGATGTGTGGGGGGAGGGGCTGGACTGGGAGAGGAATTAAGTGAGAGTCACTCCTGTTCTGGCACTAGCTGAAGTGCCCCTTCTGCTTGCAAATGAAACAGATGGATCAGACCCATTGTGTTTGAAGTGATGGGCAGATTCCCTCTGTGGTGGCTCAGTGACATTGCCGTCGAGTGATGTGCATGTATGCACCAGCCCATGGAGGCACATCTGCTCAGCTCTGAATGAGAGAACCTCTTCAGAGTAATTACTGGATGCTGAGTAATTGAGACCTGCTAGGGTCTCTGTTAATTACTCTCAGCATTCATCAATTAAGGAGACACCTGCCCATCAATCTCCAGTTTTGACATATTTTTTCCCTTCACTATGTCCCCCCCCCTCCGGAATTAAAGCCAAACAAATGGTAACCATATAAACTAAGCTTGTTACTCCTGTTCGGTCCTTGAATCTGTTAGACATCTTCGTTATGCTCTATGCTAATCTACTGCTCTACCTATATGTATGGACTGGTAATTTCCATTTCATTATATCTTAAGAAGTGTGCGTGAACATGAAATCTCATACCATGAATAAAACTTTGTTGGTCTTAAAGGTGCCCCTGGACTCAAACTTCATTCAGCTTTTAACTAACTCATTGGGGTTTTTTTTTAATGACTGGAGCAACTCCTCCATTCCTCCTCTGAGGCCTTGCTTCAGACGCCCCACTTTCTGAGGCCAGATGGCTAACAACCCGAGAAAGGGCCTTCTAGGTTGTGAAGCCGATTATGGAATCCCTCCCAGGGATATTTATCTGTCCCCTTCTATCACTGCCTTCTGTCAGAGGGTGAAGACTTTTTTGTTGTTGTTGGGTTTGGTGTTCCCTCAATGATCCCTCCTTCCCGCCTTATGCTTTAATTTGGTGTCTGTATTTTTAGCTCTGTTTTATAACTGGTTTTCTGATATATTTTTATTACGCTGTTTTAATTGTTAGCTGCCTCGGTGGCCCTGATTAGGCCGATGGATGGGATATAAAATGAAGTAAATAAATAAACTTGGTTTACTTCAGGCGAGGTCAGAGAGTCCTCTCCAGACACACAAAGTCATCCAATGTGTTCGGATCACAAGGGAAATGAGAGGGGACAACAGGTGGTGTCCTTCGAAGCCTTGGTCTCCACTGCTAGCTCAGTGTTCCTTTCCCTTCCCCTCCTTCCTTCTCATCCTTGTAGCAAGTAGACCCCACTGCTGGGGGGGGGTCCTGGAATACATCCCACCCCTTCCAAGAGCTGCCAACCCTAGAGCTATTTGCTCTGGAAGCTACTCAGCAAAGAAGTTGAGATCAAGAGAGAATGACTGACCCAAGATCCATCAAGGGAACTTTGTTGATGAGATACGAACCCAGAACTCCCATGACCTAAAAGCCTCATTTTATCCAATTTTCATCTTCTGGTTTTTCTAAGTAGCTTCTCGCTATCTCCCTTAGGACTGGCACATTGTGGATGAGGAAACCATTGTGGAGGATGAAAGCCAAGACTATGAAGTACTGTCAATGACCGAAGACGAGACTTCCACCACCATAACATTCCGGCGCTATTTCCAGACGTGTGATCCTCATGATCAGCCTATCACGGTAAAACAACACTCAGGGCATTAAAAAGGGACACTGTCCAACCAAAGTTAAGGGTCATGATCAAGTTGGTGTGCAGCGCCCATAAGCAGTCTTAAATGTCCTGTGCTCCTCTGTTGGATTGTAGTCAGATTTGTCTAAAAAAAAACCATTGGCTCCAAAGGTCAAGGCTGAAGCATGCACAAAGCTCCCCCCACCTAAACCAATGGGACTGTTGAAAAGGACTTAATGTGTATTGGTTGGGTATATTTGCATCTTGATTTACAGCCAAAGAATGTCTCATGTTGAATGGTCAAAGAATGGTCCTGTGCGCTACTCCCAGTCATGCACTTTCCTCTCCTACCCACTTTCCTCTTGACCATGCACTCTATTCCTCCAATTCTCCAACCCTCCTGGTCAAACGCATTCCTCTCTTCCTATCCTATGAGCCATGTGCTCTCTGATATATATATATATATATATCAGCTCCACACTTGCGGGATTTTTTATCTGCATAAGTGGCACCCGCCGTCTCTCCTTGATGTATGATGAATGAGAGGCGCTAAAATATGAAGAAAGTTTCTCAATGTTGTCCTGCTGCATTAAAAAGCGGAAAGGCTGAGTTGGGCCCCTGCCACACCGGGGGGGGAAATGCGCAGCCAAAGTGCGGCTTCTGGAAGCCGCACCAAAATAGACACGCCGCGGCGGGATCACACGGATCCCCTGAGCCGCGGCGCCATTGCTCCCTGGCACGATCAGATGCCGGGGAGGAAGCCATGGTCGGGAGGCCGAGGCAGCCGGCTGCGCATGCATCCGCATGCGCAGTTTGGCTAGGAACCGGGGATGCACCGGCAGAAGGATGTGCCGGCGCTCCCACGGCCGCACTTGCCACGACCGTTCAGGTAAGACCACCTCTGTCGGTGGTTCTTTTTTGCTGCGGGGTTTCCGGGGTTAGGGACGGATCGGGGATGGTTGCGCACCGCTTCCCAGATGTTGCGGTGAGATCGCGCCCGTTTGCTGTGGCCCAGATCTGTCCCTCTCCCGGGCCAAAACCCTCCGTGTGACTGGGACCTTTCAAGAGCTTGACCTAGCTGGAACAATTCAACACAACTGACCCCTGTGAATGATTCAACAAAACAGGCCCTAAAGGCATTTTCTTGAGTGAAATGCCGTGTCGTAATTAACATGCACAAATCTCAGTTGCCGTAAGCTGCATACAGAGTGTGGGGCTCGACAGCTCCCACACTCTGCGGTGTCTCAAAGGAAAAGGTTCATTTAATCTGTCTAAGCAATGAGAGACACCCAGAATACAGTTAGATTTGAGTCCAGTCACACCTTCATCAGCTTTAACTCTCAAAAGCTCACACCCTGAAACTCTTGTTGGTCTCCAGGGCTTTTTTTGTAGAAAAAGCCCAGCATGAACTTATTAGCATAATAGGCCACACCCAACAGCAGAAACTCATTAGCCTATTAGGCCACACCCCTGACATCAGAGCTCATTGGCATATCAGGCCACACCCCCATGTTGCCATACCCACCTTTTGCTTCTTATTCTGTTTACTTTGTTTATTGTCAAAACCCTGGGGGTTTTTTGTAGCAGGAACTCCTTTGCATGTTAGGCCACACACCCCTAATGTAACCAATCCTAATGAGTTTCTGTTGTTGGGTGTGGCCTATCATGCTAATTTTTCCTGCTGGGCATGGCCAACTCAGGAGCCAGCCGGAACTCCGTTCCTGTGCGTTCCTGCCCAAAAATAGCCCTGTTGGTCTCTAAGGTACTGTTGGACTCCAGTCTAACTGCTCTACCACAGACCAATGCAAATACCTGAAAGAGGAAATCTGGACATGCCAAACAATAATTTTCATTCCTTCATTTTTTTCCTTCTGCAAATGTCTGTTCTCTAAACTAAACTTTTAAAAACCCATTCTTATGCAGAGGTCACCTTGCTGCCTGCCTGCCATCTCTGCTCATGTCTCTCTCTGTATGCTTTGTTTTCAGGTAGCTTGAACCCCATGGTAGGAGGCGCATGGGTCAGGAACCTCTATCCCACAGAAAGCCTAGCCACAAACACCCTAGCTCAGGGGTGTCAAACTTAAGGCCCGCGGGCTGGAACCAGCCCACCCATGGCTTTAATCCAGCCCAGGGCTCTTTTCTTCCCCCCCTCCTCCCCTCACCCTTTGAAGCTCAAGGCTGCCGAAATTCCCAGCTCCCTCTAGTCTTGTCTTTGCCTGCTTCGTCAGGAAGCTCTTCTGGGCTTGCAAAGTTACACAGAAAATGCGGAATGGATTTTTCCATTAAGGTCTCTGCACTACTCTGGGACTGTTTCTAGCAATAGAAACAGCAGCTGCGTACTGGGAACAGCAGCTGCATTCTGGGAATGGCATTCCACTCTGGGAATGGAAATCCAGTCTGGCGGCCCTCATTCCAATCCCAGAATGCTTCTGCTACTCCCAGGAACTATCATTTCACTCTGGTGGCTGTCATTCCAGTCCCAGAGTAGTCTATCTGGGCCCAGAGACCTTAATGGAAAACCCATTCCACATTTTCTTTGCAACTTTGTCTGTGCTGCAATGTATCTCAGTGGAGTGGACCTCAAGTACTTTCACTTTCCAGTGTCTGTATGCCAGCTGAATACAGGGTTGATGTTTTGAGCCAGTTTGTCTCTGCTGAATAGACCTGAGAACGGGTGCCTGAGTGAGTATAACATGGGAACCCACAGCCAAAGGGGGACATTACACTGGAAAGCCACTGCCATTCTAAGTAGATTGGGGGGAGGGGGAAGCTTGCAATGCCCAGCCATTTTATGTTTTCCTAGGCTCAGAACATTTTATATTTTTAGTTTATATTTTCAGTTTCTGCTGTGATCTTTGTGCTTTTCCTTGATGTTTTATTGTTAAAATTGCATTGCCAAATCCCACTATTCCCCCCACCTTTCCATTTTAGGCAGGCACCTTTTAAGGGGGGGAAGGTTTGGGAGGTGTCAGTTACCAAAGGCTGTTAAATAAACAAAATATTGCTTCCTCTGAATTTGACAATGGGATTTGGCTGTTCTTAGACCAAAATGTGGAAAATATCTGGCGGCCTTCTTCTGAGTTGCCGCTTTACCTACCTATTCAGGTAAATGTGACAATATTTTACTCAAGGAAGATTTACTTTTTGTCATCTCTCTGTGCAGGGTGATACACTACGAGTGATTTCTGGTTTTGGCCCAGATGACACGATTGATTTCTTCAAAGGAAAGATTAACAAAAAATCTCTGTTCTTAATGTTATACTTAAATGAAGCTGAGTTAAATACACCCAGTGTCTACCATGTATACGATCTCAAGCTAGACGACGTAAGTATTGAACTGCCAACAACATAACTGAGGGGTATCTCTGTCAATAGGAGATGTGCAGACAAATTTTGCTTGGCTTTGAGTTTTGGTTCTTTAAAAACATTCTGTCCCTTTTTAAAATTTTGCTTCATTTTGTCGGCAGAGTTTACACATGCAGAGGAATGGAGCACCAATGTTTAAAGAAAATAACTCGGTTTATTAAAGAAGAAATAAACTCTGATAGGAGAGGGAGACAGGCTTAACTAACAAACTGCTGTGAGAGACAAGAATGAAGGGGGAGGGCTCAATTGGAGCAGGAAGTCTCCAAAAAGCCAATCAGGACACAGGAAGGACATAATTTGAAATTGTAGGAAATCCCTAATCTAGCTATGCTAACTAGCAGTCCCTCAGTTGTCCCCTATAGGCTGTTCTGATCTTCTTCAAGTAGGTGCACTATAGACCTTTTATATTCCAACGCATTTAAACCCCATTTTCCTCCCCAATGGGGATTCAGTGTGGCTTACCACATTCTCACCTTTTCCCTTGTATCCAAAGAACAACCTTGTGAGGTAGGGCCAGTCAACACTTTCACTCAGCACTCAGCAAGCTTCCATGGCAGAATGGGTTTCACACTGGGTATCCCAAATCCTACTCCGAACCCGTACCTTCTCCCATTTCCCTGCTTCCCACCCACCAAATCATCCTACTTTTTATCTGCACCCTTCAGCTGTATTCATGATATATTTACTTCATTTATGCCTGCCTTTCTCCACAACGGGGGACTCAAAGGAGCCATCATCATTTCCGTCTCCTCCATTTTATCCTCACAATAACAACCCTGTGAGGTAGGTTAGGCTGAGAGAGGGTGACTAGCCCAAGGCCACCCAGCGGGCTTCCCAGGTGGAGTGGGGATTCACCTAGGGATCGCAGATCCTAGTCCAATGGTAAATTCGAGGTAATTAATCTCTCTTCCTCCAAGTCAGATGCAAAGACGAAGTTACTGTAGCAATTCCTGCAGTACGAGGTTCCAGTAATACCATAACAATTCCTGTGATACACGGTTCCAGTGATCTCAACGCGCATGCCGGAAATGGAAATCATGTTTCACTAAAGGCTTTTTTCAAGACTAGAACCAGTTTCAATAATAGACGAATTCTTATACAAATCAGGAAAAATCAAACAGGCAAGCCGCTCCTAACAATTTCCAAACCTGAGGCGCCATGTATCACAGGAATTGCTATGATATTACTGGAACCTTTTACCACAGGCATTGCTACAGAAAGATTCATTACCTCAAATTTTTGAAATTCTGGAGTCACATTTACTGAGACTTTGGACTTACCTTTAATGTATTTTATTTCCTTGACTAGTTTGTAGTATATGTTTTCAAATAATATATAATACGTGGTAATTTGTATTCTAGTGTTGTTATGGTTTAATATTTTTGCATAGAGTGTGTTAGCTATGTGGAATCATATCAGGATTACACAGTGGTGTTTTTTGTACAATGTTGACTCTGTATCTCACTTTCGGTGGATTTCTCATTGTGACTCATATATTCCTGGGCCTATTCATGACACTTGCACTAGGGTTCATTCATTTCATCATGGTTCTTCCTATCCATGCCTAATTTATCATAGTTCTTAGTATTTTTTATTATTTATTTATTTATTAGATTTATATCCCGCCCTCCCCGCAAGCGGGCTCAGGGCGGCTAACAGTCAGCGGCACCACGTGCCATGATAAAACAGTTAAAAACAAGATAAAACAATTCTACAATTCACTTAATGCAATTGATACCAGAAAGTGCTTGTAGTGATCTTCTTTCTTCATTCAGTTAGAGATGGCGTGCAAACAGAAGTAATACTAGGGCCCTGATTTAACTATATTTCAGCCTCCCGCAATGCTGTATCTCGGTCTGCTGAAGGGCCAACCTACCACCAGGGAGATGATGACATCAGTGGTGGGCGGTATTGGTATTGGTAATGGGCAGTGGGCGGCTCCTAATTGAAGGCCTGGTGGAAGAGCTCCATCTTGCAAGCCCTGCGGAACTGTACTAGGTCCCAGATACTAGGACCAGATGTTTTGCCTACAAGTCAAGTTTGGGTTTCCTCTATGTTTCTCTGACCTGACTCCTTGATTCTGGCAGTCTTATGGCACTCAGCAGGGGCCTGATTCAGATAGGGAACATTGCATGATGGGAGAAGGGGTTTCTACCTCGCAGTATTCAGTGCACATGCAGCCTTTCCCCCCACCCAACAGAGCAATCTTCTACAACAGCATAATTTTTACACAAAGTGCAGCATGTGAAAGATTCTGACGGGGTCCCGGTTTACTGACTTGAATCAGGAGCAGTATGCCAGAGAATTATAGAAGTCTTCCACTTGTGTCGTCTTTAAGTGTGAGGATTCTTTGTGTAAAAAAATTATGCTGTTATTGCAAGACACAGATTGTGTAGTATTTTGGAATACTTGTATGGATATAAATAACAAGGAGCATATAAGTTTCATTGAGCACCATCACATTATTTATAAATAACTTTAGAGAAAAGTCTGTGTATATGGGTTGCCATCTCACAGTATATACTGCATTTGTATCAGGTAAACTGTTCGTGAGCCTGTAATTTGTTGTAGTTAGATCAAGGGAACCCAGACCCAACTCATGGTAAAATGTCAATGTCTACCTTGGCCCTCAGTTTAGCCTCTGAACATTCCCAGAGTGCAAATTCAACCTTCCTCTTGCAAATGTATGAACTTTCCCACAGATAACTGGGGTGAAATGTGATTTCACCCCAATGTCCTAATTGCTGTGTTACCCCATCACACCCCCTTCCCTATTATGCCCTCTTTTAATGTTTATTCAGTGCACCGAGGACTTGTAAGGGTGCTCCACTCTTCATCCTACTGGTGTTCCAAGGTAGAATGTATGCACAGCTCATGCTTTCCCCATTTATGTTTGTTAGCTGGCAACTCCACAGTCTTTAGCATGTGCTTTGCCTTTGTTTTCTAGTTCCCCATTCCAGATGACGACACCACGTACGCCTGCACTTTCATCCCACTGCCCAGAGTCAAGACAAAACATCACATCTACAAGGTAAGCTGCTTGACAGTGAGAGGGAAACTGGGAGCCTTGCAATGTTCCCTCTAAGCTGTGGAGTCTTGTGAGCAAAAATTCTACTTTGTGAGTTACTGGCATTAAAGTTGTGAGCGAGCGATTTGGCTACTGCATAAATTAGTTTGCTCTGGAGCCATCCCTTCCTGAGCTGAGACAAAATGTGTGAGCCGGAGGCTAAAAAACTGTGAGCTAGCTCACACTAACTCAGCTTCGAGGGAACACTGGAGCCTTGTGTTTCGCCCTCTCAAGTCTACACGGACATAACAGACAGGCAGATTATTCTGCAAAGCACAGCTGAACTACAACTAGCATTACATGCAATGCGATGTCATTTTTGGAGAAAACCAGATGTGACACCATGTCACCCTAGGAATCAACGGAAACTGTATGGTGAAGCCATGGAGTTTTTGGTGATTCCTAGAGTGACATGCCATCAGACCCCACACACACATACACACTGCTGATCAGCTGGGCTGGTGGGGGGACTTACTGGCAATGAGGGTGGTCTAGCCTGGCATCTCAGTGATGTCACTGGTGATGCAGCAATGTCACTTCTGGTGCGTGCCAGAAGTGACATCATCGCATCATCATCAAGGCAAGAGATGCTGTGGTATTTGAGCAATACAACAGCTTCTACCATAGAGTTTTTGCCCTAATTCCCAGGTCACCAAATCCCCAGGAGGAGTGGGAGAGTAGGGGAATCAAACATGGTTCACCAGATTAGAGTCTGTCACTCTTAACCACAACACTGTGCTGTCACATGAGTTTGATGCTGCTGGGAAGTTGTAGGGGTTCTCTTGCAGTATCATGGCACATTCAGTTCTGAATTACTCCTGAACTCTGCAGTATACCATTGACTCCACCCTCTGAAGTTGTCATTTCCTCCATGAAAAGTTATCTCTGTAGCCCGGAGATCAACTGTAATTCCAGGAGGACTCTAGCATCCTGGAATGCATGAACCCTGGTATGAATCCAACCATCATGTTACTTTTCTGTACGGAAACTGTCGCCTTCAGAAACTCATCAGACATTCAGCAGCATGCCTTAATATTCTGCTACAATCATGGGAGTGCAGCCTCCCCAAATGCCAGTCTGGTGTAGTGGTTAGGTGTGCGGACTCTAATCTGGGAGAACCGGGTTTCATTCCCCACTCCTCCACTCGCACCTGCTGATGTGACCTTGGGTCAGTCACAAGCTCTGGCACAGCTGTCCTTGAAAAAGAGCAGTTTCTGTCAAGAGCTCTCTCAGCCCCACCCACCTCACAGGGTGTCTGTTGTGGGGAGGGGAAGGGAACGGAGTTTGTAAGCCGCTCTGAGACTCCAAGTGAAGGGCGGGGTATAAATCCAATCTCTTCTTCTTCTTCTTCTCATCATCCTGGAAAGAAGATTGGGAAGAGAGAGCCAGACTTTTGGCTATAGCCTGAACCCCTGCATGTGGATTCCCCTTGAGCTCCATGGGGCTTACTCTCATGTGACTGCTGTCCCCTCCCTCCTGGCCCCCAGTCTTTCTGGTCTTCAGATGCTGTGGCTATTTTTGCACAGACACCGTCGCCTGAGTGAGTCGCCGGGCAAGCTCACGCCAAGCAAATCGCATGCCCATGCCAAGCAAATGCTCTGCCCATTCTCTGCTGGGCTGCTGCACCAATTGACCAAGGACATCAGTGTAGAGTAGAACCCAGGTGACCTTTCTCCTCTTTTGTCTATAGTTTGAGGCCGTAATCACACCCCGGAACCAAACCATGGTGCATCACATCCTGGTTTACGCCTGCAGCAATGCGAGCGTGCTGCCCACAGGGGTGAGCGACTGCTATGGAGCGGATCCTGATTTTGCCCTCTGCTCCCAAATCGTTGTGGGCTGGGCAGTAGGAGGAGGGGTGAGTATATGGGATTTTCTTTTTTTTATTTTCTTTTTTGTGAGAAGTGTGTGTCTGTGTGTGTGTGTGTGTTTGCCTGAAAGTCATGGTTGACTTCTGGTGACCCCTAGTGGGGCTTGGACATTTTCAGAGAGGTGACTTAATATTACATGCCCCTGCGTACCGGCCCTGGTATTCCTTGGAGGTCTCCCATCCAAGTATTTGCCAGGGTCAGCCCTGCTTAGCTTCCAAGATCTGGCGAGGTCGGGTTTGCCTGGGCTACCCAGGTCAGGGCTAGTAGATGGGTTTTTCTTGTCCCAGTAAATCGTTTCCAGCCTGCAACCAAAGTTACCAAACTACCGTACTAACTTTGAAAGCTTATCTTGGACAGAGCCGTGGGTTGGCCCGGTTCTAACTATTGATTTCATAGCAACTTCCAAGGAAGAGGAATTTATTCCTTCATTTTCTTTGGATGATATCGAAGAAGCCTGATACATTTTGATCCTAACTGCATGCAGTTCTTCCATCCCTGCTGATGCGCTGAGCCTTTCTCATCACCAAGGCCCACAATGTGCCCCACTGAAATGAGTGGGGGAAGCACCAAAGGACAATAGGGCCATCACACAAACCTGTGAAGCTGCTATGTACTGAGTCATACCATAGGTCTTTCGCATTCAGCCTTGCCTACTCTGACCGGAAGCAGCTAACCATGGTCTTGCCAAACCAACTACCTCATTCTTTTATTTGGAGATGCCGGGGATTGAACCTGGGACCTTCTGCATGCCATGTGAATCAATTGAGGAAACAGGACTTCCGGTTCCGGTTCCGATGCAATAGGATGCTGCAAGGCTGCGCTCCATTTTCAGTGGCATTTTTTCCATATTTTATTTTGCTTATCTTGTTTTAATTAGTTGGTCTTTTGTTTTCTGTTCTTTATCCCATTTAGTCTGGAATTGATTAGCTGTTAGTGTTTATCTTTTTTTCTCCCCTTTTTGTTTTATAGACTCAGTGCCAAAATTTCCTCATCCCTCCCTTAGTTGGTTGGGTTAGGAGTGGCGTGGAAGTCGAGTAAATGAAAAAGGTTGAGGGGGATTAGAATAGGGCTTTTGTTTTGTTTTTGATTTGATACAGCTGAGAGTTTGGTTCCCTTTGTTTTCTCTTGATCTGTTTTAACTGTTTTTAAACTGTTGTTTTAATTTATTTTAATGGATACCTCACTTGAGTGATTTTAAGGATTTTGGTTGATATAAAATGTGGGCTTATTGGCCAAGAGTAGTTGTTTTTGTTGGAGTTGATTTGTTGAGTGGATAGGCTATCAGTAGTAATTTAGTAGCAGTGTGGATAATAGCATTTTATGTCCCTTACTCACCTCTTTCTTCCTGCTTTACCAATTAGACTGGGGAGTGGTGAAGAACATGTTTTGTGTTTGTGTGTTTTAGGGGAGAAGGGGAAATTAGTTTGGTTACTTTCAGCTACTCTCAATTACTTTGGTGTAGTTAGCTTGGGCATATATTTGTTATGTGTTATGGCTTCCTTGCAAATGCTCTGCCACTGAGCCACGGCCCTCCCCTGAGAGCCAATTTGGTGTAGTGGTTAAGTGTGTGGACTCTAATCTGGGAGAACCGGGTTTGATTCCCTACTCCTCCACTTGCACCTGCTGATGTGACCTTGGGTCAGTCGCAAGCTCTGGCACAGCTGTTCCTGAAAGAGCAGTTTGTGTCAGAGTTCTCTCAGCGCCCCTCCCCCCACCTCACAGGGTGTCTGTTGTGGGGAGGGGAAGGGAAAGGAGTTTGTAAGCCGCTCTGAGACTCCAAGTGAAGGGCAGGGTATAAATCCAATCTCTTCTTCTTCTTCTTCTTCTTCTTCTCCCCATCACTGCCAAAGAATGCCTTCTTGCAGTTCAGTCCAGATTGACCCCTGTAAAGATACCCCAGTCTGAATCCCAAGAACCAGATGACACAGCTGTGGTGTCAAGTAGCATGTGATGTAAAGTAGCACACAAACTATAGTGCAGAAAATCAAAACTATGGGAATCGATTTGGCTTCTTTGCACAACTGTGGTGAAACAGCTATTTTGCAGGTGATGAGGAGGAAGATTTGGGATATGGAAGCCCAAACAATTAATGCGGGGAGCTATGGAGTCTGCTCCCCACGCTCACTTGACCTTCCCCCTCCCCAAGCCTCTATGGCTCAGTACATCTTTAATCTAACAATCCCACTTTATCGGCGGGGGTTTATGTTATGGAGTTTTAATCTTTTCCCCTCTGCTATTGTCTTAGGCAGATATAGGGGTATCCCCTATAGGGACAGAACCTGTAATTGCCTCCATAGTGAACCAGATTCAGTTGCTCATATCCTTCTACGTTGCCCCCAATATTCTACTATGTGTAGCCATCTGATTAGTCCCCATTTACCTACCACAAGGAATCCGACTGACAATGATCTTAACATTTTATTGTCTGATAAGTTCTCGGCAATTACTTTGTCTGTTGCCGAATTCTTAGCCTATGTCTGGAAGCTTAGGGTAAGGGTGTACAAGTCTTAACCTCCCTGTGTTCTTTAGAATTGTAATATTCTTTACTGAGTATATTATTTCTGAGAGGTTTCAAAATGATACTTTGTTGGGGCAGCTTGGTGTAATTTGCCATGACATTAATTTGTTTATTTATTTTTCTAATTTTTTCACTGCCCTTCTTGTTGCTGTGTTATGCCAATAAAGGTTTATGTATGTATGTAAGTAGCAAGAGACGATTTCTCTCTTCTTCTTCTCTCTCCTCCTCCTCCTCTCCCCCCACCCAACTAGTCCTACATGTTCCCGGATGAAACTGGAATCTCCATAGGGACACCACGGGATTTCCAGTGGATCCGGTTAGAAGTCCACTACAGCAATTTTGATTTAATTCCAGGTGAGTAAATAGCGTATGCAAATCTGATAAGGAAAAGCAGAAAAAGGATAAAGGTGGGCAGAGATGCTAGACCTCTTTGATTCTCGTTTTTCTTTTTCTGGCAGTTCTCAGATGTTTCTTGCAGCTGGGCCCCATGAGTTAGAGTGTTTCTAATTTAAAAGAGTCATCATATTCTCCTTTTGTTCTTTGTCTCTCTCCATGGCTGTTCTATTGTAGGTTTCTTACAAAGGAATCCTAAACAAGTCTACTCAGAATCCTACTCAGGTCTGTTCAATACAGTTTAATCCCAGGGAACTGTTTTTAGGATTGCACTGTTAACTCCCTGTTTGGATGTCCCAGTGTTTAGCCGAGAGATAGGGTTGCCAGCCTCCAGGTGGGGCCTGGGGATCTCCTGCTTGTACAACTGATCTCCAGCTGACAGAGATCAGCTCCCCTGGAGAAAATGGCTGCTTTGAAGGGTAGACTGAATGGCATTGGACCATGCGGAGGCCCCTCCCCTCCCCTCCGCAAACCCCACCCTCTCCTGGATCCACCCCCAAAGTCTCCAGGTATTTTCCAACCCAGACCTGGCAACCCTACTAAGAGACCAGGCCGGCCCTGATTTTGTCCTACCGATTAATCTCCCAAGCAAGATTTCTGAGGCATAAACTTTCCAGAGTCAAAACTTCTTTTGCATCTAGCTGTTCTCTAAGGTGCTACTGGGCTCAGGTTTGCTCTTCTACTGCAGACCGAAAGACTCACACAACCATTTTTAACTTTAAAAGGGGTAATTTCTCTGATATGAGGGGACACGTGGGGAGGAAACTGAAAGGAAAAGTAGAAAGGGTCAAAACAATTGGGGAAGCTTGGGATCTATTTAAAACTACGATCCTAGAAGCTCAAAAAATATATATTCCGCAGGTTAGGAAAGGCACAAACAGGTATAGGAAAAAGCCTGCATGGTTAACAAACAGAGTAATGGAGGCTGTAAAAAGTAAAAAGAATTCCTTTAAGCAGTGGAAAGCTAGTCACAGTGAGGCTGATAAAACGGAACACAGGTTATGGCAAATAAAATGCAAGTCTGAGGTCAGGCAGGCAAAAAGGGAATATGAGGAGCATATAGCAAAAAACGTAAAAACCAACAATAAAACTTTCTTCAAATACATTAGAAACAGGAAACCAGCCAGGGAGGCAGTGGGGCCCTTGGACGACCAAGGGGTAAAAGGAGTATTGAAGGATGATAGGGAAATGGCTGAGAAGCTGAATGCATTTTTTGCCTCTGTCTTCACTGTGGAAGATGAGAAGTGCTTGCCCACTCCAGAACCACTGATTTCAGGAGGGGTGTTGAAAGACCTGAGTCAGATTGAGGAGAGAGGAGGTCCTACAACTGATCTGATAGACAACTTAAAAACTGAAAAATCACCAGGCCCAGATGGCATACATCCGAGAGTTCTGAAAGAACTCAAATGTGAACTTGTAGATCTCCTGACAAAGATATGTAATCTTTCCTTAAAATCTGCCTCCATTCCTGAGGATTGGAAGGTAGCTAATGTCACTCCCATCTTTAAAAAGGGTTCCAGAGGAGATCCGGGAAATTACAGGCCAGTCAGTCTGACGTCGATACCGGGTAAATTGGTGGAAACCATTATTAAGGAAAGAATTAGTAGGCACATAGATGAACAAAACCTATTGAGGCAGACTCAGCACGGTTTCTGTAAGGGAAGATCTTGTCTCACTAACCTGTTAGTGTTCTTTGAGGGGGTGAACAAACATGTGGACAAGGGGGATCCAATAGATATTATTTACCTTGACTTCCAGAAAGCTTTTGATAAAGTTCCTCATCAAAGGCTCCTAAGTAAGCTCAAAAATCATGGGATAGAAGGACAAGTCCTTTTATGGATCAAAAACTGGCTAGTTCATAGAAAACAGAGAGTGAGTGTAGGTGGGCAATTTTCTCAGTGGAGGGTGGTAAGCAGTGGGGTACCGCAGGGATCAGTACTTGGTCCACTGCTTTTTAACTTGTTCATTAATGATTTGGAGATGGGAGTAAGCAGTGAAGTGGCTAAATTTGCGGATGATACAAAGTTGTTCAGGGTGGTGAAAACCAGTGAGGATTGTGAGGCACTCCAAGGGGATCTGTCAAGGATGGGCGAGTGGGCGTCAACATGGCAAATGGGGTTCAATGTGGCCAAGTGCAAGGTGATGCACATTGGAGCCAAAAATCCTAAATATAAATACACATTGATGGGGTCTGAACTGGCAGAGACTGAGCAAGAGAGAGATCTTGGAGTTGTAGTGGATAACTCACTGAAAATGTCGAGACAGTGTGTGACTGCAATAAAGAAGGCCAATGCTATGCTGGGGATTATTAGGAAGGGTATTGAAAACAGATCAGCCAATATAATAATGCCCCTATATAAATCAATGGTGAGACCTCATTTGGAATACTGTGTGCAGTTCTGGGCACCACACCTTAAAAAGGATATTATAGCTTTGGAAAAAGTGCAGAAAAGGGCAACTCGAATGATAAAAGGGTTGGAACACTTTCCCTATGAGGAAAGGTTAAAGCGCTTAGGGCTCTTTAGCTTGGAGAAAAGACGACTGAGGGGTGACATGATCGAGGTTTATAAGATTATGCATGGGAAAGAGCAGGTAAAGAAAGAGGTACTTTTCTCCCTTTCTCACAATACAAGAACTCGTGGGCACTCCATGAAACTGCAGAGCGGTCGGGTTAGAACGGATAAAAGGAAGTACTTCTTCACCCAAAGAGTGATTAACACATGGAATTCACTGCCACAGGAAGTGGTGGGTGCTACAAGCATGGACGGCTTCAAAAGGGAATTAGATAAGCATATGGAGCAGAGGTCCATCAGTGGCTATTAGCCACAAGGTATAGCTAGGGGCTCTGGGGCAAGTGATGCTCTGTCTTCTTGGTGCTTGGGGGGGGGGTCAACAGTGGGAGGGCTTCTAATGTCCTGGCCCCACTGCTGGACCTCCTGATGGCACTGGTATTTCTGGCCACTGTGTGACACAGAGTGTTGGACTGGATGGGCCTTTGGCCTGATCCAACATTGGCGTCTCTTATGTTCTTATGTTCTTAAATGTAGGAGCAGGACCAGGGTACTTTAATCCATCAGGGA